TCGTCAAAAAATTGACCAACTTCGTGTACAAGATTATTTTCCATTTTATTTTTAACTGCCCTTAAAATTTCATAATATGAACCTTCAAATGCTAGAGAATTTGCGAAATGCTACTCAGAAATTAAACCGACAACTTCTTTATTGTTACTAAGCCAGAAAAGCAAAATTTGCCCAAATTTTACTTAGTAAATTTAGGTGCGTCGATCATTTGACATTTACTCCCATGATCTGCGTGAAATGTTGATCGACTGATATAAAAAAGTATTTTTTTGCGAGTTTTTAAATTTTGATCCGGTCGAGTTATGAAAACCAATTAATTAATTTTACATGACCTTAATGTAACTATGACTCTTTTTCGATGATTTATGCAAACTTGAACTTGTAAAAGGTCATACATCGTTATAAAATTTTCATTTAAATTTAGTTATAATTTTTAGTCAATAATTAACAAAATTAAAAACTTATATGATTTATAATTACTGAAATTTTTTATTATATTTAAATTTCAATATACTATATCAAAATTGTGTATCATGTTTAATGAAAGAACAAAATAAAAAATATAATTATATGAATAAAAAATAAATTTCTTTTCTGGTACTAAACATCAAAATTTAACTATTGTACTTTCGTATCTAAAAAAAAACAAATATAAAACCGCCATAAATAAAATACGAGTGTAAAACCATTGCTTGTGCTGATGGATGGAATTATATTGTAATAAGATAATTTGTAAAAAAAAAAAAATAATAAAATAAAATAGATCCTTCCTATTTTTGAAATATAATGCACAAAGTGACTTAACAAAAATTGATCAAGTACCGATACCAGATTAATTCTGCTCAATAAAAGTATAAATTCAGGATTAAAATGCTTGTTGTGTTTTTAATATATAGATTGCTAGTTATTAATGGCATCCAATACATCATCTGTATTTATGTATGTTCTAGTATGCATTAAATCTTCATGTTGTGACGTAATGGTTGTAACGGTTGCCGATGTTTTTATGATTTTATCAGCTTCCATAAATTTATTTTTAATATCAATTTCAGAAACGTAGTCACCATAACGATTCAAAAAACCAAGAATAAATTCGTAACTATCATATCGAAATTCTTCTTCATGATCATTATGAACTTCATTAACATCATCGTATCCATCCTCATAATCGCAATATTCCTCATAATCACTAGGATTTTCATCATAAATATCATCATTTTGATCATCTTTACCTTCAACAGCTTCATCAATATCACCATATTCTTTTTCATAATCACCATAATCTTCTCCATAAACATTACCATCAATTTCGACTTTATCGATTTTATTAAACGTATCATCTTTTTTAACTTTGTCATCGTTACCTTTATCAATTTCACCAACTTTCATTAAGTTTTCCGATTTTATAACGGAGTGCCACTTTTGAAGTTTTAAAAGAACATCTTTAGCAGTTAGCCGTTCTTGTGGGTTTGACTCCATGCATTTCATAGCCAGTCTAATATAGAAATCGGGAGTCCCAGTAGCAAATTCTGGTCGAAGTCCTTCTATAATCTTGAGAAAAAGACAATGATCATATGGCTCACCATCAAAGGGTCTTTTTCCAGTTGACATTTCGGCCATGATGACGCCTAAAGCATAGACATCAGCCGCTTGTGTACGTTGATAATCTTTTAAAACTTCAGGTGCTTTATAGGGCAAGACTCCATAAATTTTTTGACTAATGTTATATTCGTTATTCTTTTTTGATGATCCTAAATCTGAGATATATGATTCCTCCTTTGCTTTATCTTGTAAAATGTTGCCGCTATGGATGTCACCATGAATATATCCTGATTTATGAATTCGAGCTAAATCATATGATATATGCATCAGGTGTTTCAATTTTTTTTCCCATGTAAGCGTTTGGAAATTTGATGCTAAAAATTCACGAAGATTTCCTCCATCAGCAAATTGGAATACCATCAAGTATTTGTTAGTTTTTACGTCATGAGTTAATCCATATATTTCAAGTCCACTACCAGTTAATCTACACTGTACATGACTTTTAAACTTGTATGATTTTAATACATTAGTTCAATAATTGATAAATAAAATTTTATCTAACAACGACCTTAACTTACTTCTTCAATGTCGGGTAAAGTTTTGAGCGCAACAAGACTAGAAGGGTCTCGCAATCTCGTCGTAATATTTGTATTATTATCATAATCTGCTTTTCGTATACCATCCAACCAGGTTGCTGAAAATACAATACTAAAACCCCCATAACCAATTTGCTTAATATTTTCTAATCTATCAAATTCGATCCATTCAATTACTTTTGTATAGCTGGGAGCTTTAAGCTGAAATTCTTTAATCATATAGTCAATATTTAGATTTCTACTTGTCCAGCTACGAATTGTTAGGTATGGATCACATGTTAAACACCAGGCTTGCGCAGTATTGTATTGTTTACAGTACTTGCATGTTCCACTGGAAGGTTCCCTTTATAAGAGTCAATATTGATAAATGTTTATGCAAGTTTTAAAATTTTTAAGCAAATTATATATATACACTTACCGACTAAAATTAGCAGAATAGAAAAATTAATTAGAGAATTACAATGTTAAATAAATATATATATACTTAAGTATAATATTTTATACTCACGCACTAAGTTAAAATAATGCGTATGTAAGAATTTAACACTGAATAGCTTTCGTAACTTAAATAGGTTTACCGATAATTGCTTTTTTTATACTTACTCACTAAATTATAATAACGTGAATGAAAGAATTTAATAATATTAAATATATTGAATAGCTTTTGTTACTTAAAATAGGTTTGTTGAAAAAAGTTCTTAATACTCACAGACTAAAATATAATCATATTAATGTGAATATTTAATATTATTTGAATAAACCGAAGAGCTTATTTAAAATATTTATTTTTATACTCACCCACTAAAATAACATGAATTTAAAAAATTTTTAATGAAGATATATAAATCGAATAACCTTAAAAAGTCTAATAATAAATGCTCTTCACACTCACTCGCTAAATTCATATGATGAATTGAAAATATAATGTTAAATATATCGATGTGTATTCGAGGTTTATGATTGTCCAGACAATCAGCGTTACTAACATAAAAATTTCTTTTTTATATTATGACTCGACAGCGAAATTTTTCATGTTGGTAACACTAGATTGAGATAACTTTAATTTCCGTGTTGAATATGTTACTTTAAAATTCTTTTTACTAGTCAACAGGCTATTTCGATTGACATTACTACCGAATTTGTGATTGCATCTTTATTATGATTCAATCGCGCTGAACAATATAATATATGGTGACAGAACTAATTTAAAAGTTCAGCTCCTAAATTAATCCATTTATTTTTATTTAGAACTTACCAGTGAGCTAGACACTTTTGCAGTCATGTGAATGACTCGGATTAATTTTAAACTTTAAATGTTAAGATTTAGACTATAGGCATAAATCACGCGTTTTTATATTTAAAATCCTCGTCATTTTAATCAGTCGTTATTTCCTTGTTTATCACATCATGGGAGTGCCTGGATCACTGGCATATTTTTCAATTAGTGCGATGTATAGGCCAATTACAAATTCGCTAGTAAGCTATTAGCTACAGTAATACCCATATAATCACATCATAATCAATCACATTCATATTTAAGCCAAACAATTGTATATACTATTTTAAAATGAGCTACCCTGAAATCTCGAAAGAACATAATACCGACTAAATTGGCCCATTATAACTAATGCTGGCTAACTTTGCCGGTATTATGTCTTTTTTGGAATCTATCTTTCGGGATTTCATGGTAGTACCATTTTAAATTTCTATATAAACTATGTGTCCAACTGCGTGATTATATGTTGGATGACTGTAGCAATATCAGTTTGAAAAAGTGCTATTATGACATAAATGAAAGAATAACTTATTTAATGGCTATTGATAAATGTACCATATACTTACAAGCTAGATTAACACGTAATGGAAGGTTTATTTCATGTTAAATATTAAATAACTTTGTTAAATAAGTATATCAATAAATGTTTTTTATACTCACGAACTATATCAATGCAAGAAATATATATATATATTTAAATAACTCATTTTAAATATTACAATTAATAAATTGTTTATACTCACACTCTAGATTATGGCATTGAGAATGAAATGAATTTAAAGAATTCTTAAATTCGAATGGCTTATTTTTAACAATGTTTATTGATAAATGTTCTCATACTCACTGACTAAATTATAACGGTGCAAATGAATATTAATTTGATCAGCTTTAAATACTGTATCTATTGGTAAGTGTTCTTTATACTTACTCGCTAAATTATGATAATACAAGTGAAACGATAATTTAGTGTTATATATAAATTATTTTAAATATGGGTTATTGTTTTGATTATGAACCAGAAGTTTTTACATTATATTTATTTGTAATTAGCAATATCCAAATAAAAAACATTATTATTTACTTCGATTCATGTTCAAAAATATTACAGTATGTTACCAAATAGAAGCAGCCACAAAATAAGCATTCCGATTTTGAACAGAAAATTTAATATATTTTGTTTCTATTTGAAACATACAGTATCCATATGTCTATTATTAATAAACAATTTCATACTTACAAACTAAATTAATGTGAATGGATTTAATGTTAAATTTCAATACTTAATAGCTTATTAAAATAGTTTCATCGATAAACGTTCTTTATACTCACCGGCTAAATTAAAATTTTGTGAATAAAATGAATCAAAAGGATTTTTTAATGTTAGTTAAATATATTAAGTATCATTCATCGATGCATTGCTATCCAATGATTGATTTTGGTTGCATGAAATAGCGATGTATCGTACTGGCGATTCTTAAATTTAAATAAATGTTTTAATACTCACTCACTAAATTATAATAACAAATGAAATGAAATGAGTTGAAAGTATTATTGATAATGTTAAAACTTAATGAACTTTATACTCACAAACTAAATTATGGTAGAAAAATTTTTTAATCTAACTATTTATATAAAAAAACCAGCTGATTTTAAATAATATTAATCAATGTTATTTATACTTACGAACTAGAGTAATATAAAACAAAATAAAAGAATCATTTTATGTTAAATGTTTATAAGTTTGAATAACTTACAGTATTTAAAACTTTATTGATAAATGCTTTATACTCACGGACTAAATTATGGCAATGTGAAAGATTTAGTTAATTTATATATAAACGCGTATAGCATATTTAACTAAATTTGTTAACAAATATTCTTTATACTCACTCACTAAATCGTGATGAAGATATAATTTAATGTGAAATACTGTATAAATGGCTTATTTGATGTTTTTTTATACTCACTTACTAAATTATAATATTGTAAATCAATTAAAAATTATTTAACAAGAAAATTAATATAAAATTGGACGGCTTATTTTAAATATAATTTTTTGATAAATGATCGTACTTACAAACTATTTAACACGAATAAAATGGATTAAAGAATTGAGTAATTTTTGTTAAAAGCGTTTGTATTGATAAATTCTCTTTATACTTACAACCTAAATTAATACGAGTGAATGTATTGCTCGATGTTAAATATGTAAAAATACTGTATGTTTATTAATAAATGTTATTTGTACTTACGCACTAAATTAAAGCGATTAAAATTTAGTAAAAAGTTTATATAATTATATGTATAGACTGCTACTTTTCAGAATTATAACTAGAATTTGCTTTTTTTTAAAACTTTAAGATCAAATTATTTCTAATCCATAAGTATATTTTTTTTTATTAATATTGTGTTCATCTCGTTGAGAAGATTCCAACAAGTCAATATCATCCAAATCTAATCACAGGATCACAAAAGAATGCTCAGGCAAGTAAGCGACGCACCTTATGTGTCATACAATTGATCTAACCAATTGTACAACATACGTATAAGGTGATTAATTGACTCACATTATCTCGTGATTTTGTGATTAGTTTGGATGATTTGGGGTAGGGTGGTTATCGGCTTGGATGGCTTGGCTTGGCTCCTAAAAGTCATGGCTCTAATAGTTATGGCTCAAGCTGTAGTTTTAGTCACTGGAAACGCGACTCAAACCACAGCTCAAGCTATAACTCTAAGCTATAACTTGATTACGATTTAAGCTACAGCTCAATTGGCTTGGATCGGCTCAGCTCAATTATGCAGCTAGAGTCAATCTCAAAGAAGCCGTTAACAACCCTAATTTTGATCTCATTGGAATCGTCTCAAAGTGACAAACACAGTCAACAAAATTATGAAAAAATTTATATATTAAAAATTATTTGGGTTTAAGGTTTAAAAAAAGCAAGCCCTAATTATAATTCCAACCATCAGCCCGT